GAGCAGCTCATCGTGATTGTTTAGATATTTGCGTCATTCGGGCCAAATCATTTTCTAGCAATGCAAATATAATGATGGACGTATGTCCGCCTTTCTTCTCTTCTGACTGGGTGATTGGAGCTTAATTAAAGTGCGAAATAAATCATATAATTTAATAACACAGGGTTTCTTCTTACTTGGTCCTTTCACTGAGCCAGATCCTTTCGTTGTTACTTGACACAGATGCGTTTGAATCGCCCGTTTGTTTGTTTGTTTGTTTGTTTGTTAAAATGCGGCTTGTTTATTTGAAACAGAGGTTTACGCTGCGTGGCGTAAAATACAGAATCCCTTCTACGGATCATTTTCAGCGTCTGAACCCTTTCAAACGTCCTTCCTTAGCAAAGTTGTTTGAGATGACATTTGGCTGACTTGTCTCAGCTGCACCCTCCTCTGCAGGGACCTCTGATAAAGTGTGACGGACAAGTTGAGGCAGGACTGAAGGTGTGGCGGCCGCAGCCGTGAGGAGGAGCGCTCACTGTGTCGTGTAAGAAAACTCTATGCAACTTGTTGTGCTCTCGGCAACACTTTTCTGTCGGTGAGCATTGACTGTGTTGCAGAAGGATCTGAGAACAGATCCTGTCGGACGTTGGGTATCGCGTCCTCCCGGACACCTGAAATCTGCTTAATAAGCTTCAAACCAGACTCGTCAGTTCATGGACATTTTTTCCCCTTGAGATCTGGAGGATTTTTGCTTTTGGTCATGGAGAGAGCTTAAGATTGTCGAGGAAGAGGTGAGTACACTGACAGAGCCCCGGCACTCCTTAACGATTTCAAATATCAATCAGCTGTCGCTTTTCCCAGAGCTGTGCTGAGCAAAGGTCTGGGAAGGCTGCAGGGCTTTACGTCTCAGTATGAAACAACAGCAGCTTTACAGTGGGAGATAAAAACCAGCGATAAAGTTCGTTGTTAAGTTAATATTCATTTACAGTTTGAACTGGAAAGAGACCAAACCTCAGTTCTAGGAAATGTTGCCAAGTCAGAAATGTGGAAATTAATTATTGACAAATTTGAGTTTGTCTGCCGTACATGTGTATAAGACTGTTTTTATATGACTTCTATATCGCCTGGTTATACTTTTAATGCTCAGAAACACTTGACTTGCTTTATTTGCGGTTGAATAGACCAAGAGTAGTTAAACATTAAAAGTATTAAGATAAGAAAAAGAGACTTCCTTTAAATTGAAGCGAGACTACTGAGACTATTCCAGCTACGGCACCAGAGTCAGACTTTTATAATAGTTCCAGATTTGTGAGAAGGAAATAAAAATGAAATTACTCGTGTTTTCTTGTTCTTTTCAATTCAATTCAATT